TATATATAATATTATTTAAGATATATCAAGAAAATATTAAGATGTATCTATTATCCATTTTCTTTTTTCCCCTAAAGTTCAATTATAATATTAATCAAGCTTTTTGCACAAAAACAATCATGATTTAGTTTTTACAACCATTTTCAACACTCTCTCTCTGAACCTTAAAATTAAACAGGTTTTCTGCACCCATTACTGTCTTATACAGGTCTAATACAGCTTGCACTGCCCCATTATTCAGTTGCAGCTTTTGGAAAGCCTGCATTAGATTGTGCAAGACTCCAAAGATCAGGGACCCTGCTAAAAATAAAGAGACCAAAAATTCATGTTCCAAAAATTCATCCAATTCTTTTTGGATTGATGTTTGGAGTTCAGAAAATTATAGAATGTTGTCATAGTGCAATGCATTTTATATCAAAACATCAAGGGAAGATCCAACTGGATATCAAATCCTTCACATGAAGCAAATAATGGAGAAGGCTATCACATAGAAGATAAGCAGAAAGCTGTTCACAGCAGTTGGGATCGTAATGAGCCCATGGTGTCAAGCGAATGGGCTGTTCCTGAACTCCAGAGAACAGGGGGTTTGGGGTTTATTATTTCTCTGCAGGGAAGCTTGAGAATGCATCTTCTTCTCACATTAAATGACAGAGGTCAGAAAGTTGGGATAGAACGAGCTGACAGGGTTTTTTTTTCTGGTCTTGACACAAATAGATTCTCTGCTTGCTACTTGTGGGTAGACTGTGATTCTGCAAGGTCTCCCCCCCACCCGCCACAAACACCCGGCAGCTTGAGGATGTGTGTGTGCAAGTTTGAGTAGAGAAGTTGCAATCATGTCATAGTAAATGAGCAAAGACAGAGTAAAGGGAGAGATATAGGAAGAAATTGTGAGATACTTTGGCTGTCAATCCATTACATTTTAATAAATATAAATACTTGATATGCTAATAAATTAACCAAATTAACTGGAAAATTTACTATAAAAAATTATATTGGCAATTATATTATATTATCATCATTTTATATTGGTAATATTTTTTTTCAGGGTTTAATTTATCAGATTGTAGGAACATTTGTTATCAAGGAATTTGCGTAATTACATTTTTTTAAAAAAATTAATTGCTGTAAATGGGTGGGTTAAATGGACAGTCCTAGTAAAAATATCTCCAACAAATCAATTCTCGGGAAAATCAGCCCAAAGTTAAGTGAAAAAAGGCTGGTGAGAAATGGAGATCTGTTAAGGCTCATATTTTAGTCAACTTGCATGCCACGTTCCACAGTAGAGAAGTGTGGACAGACACATACGCACACATATAGAAGGACAATGAGGAATGCTGATGGCTGAAGCTATAAGTAGAGAGTTATGTGCTGAGAAAGTGTGAACATTAAACTGATCTATGGAGACGTCACACAGGGAATGTGTTGTTTACATGTCGTGTGAGTGCTAATAGGGGCTGTACCGCACCTCTGTGCAGGCTGATGTTTCTCTCTCCTTGGTATGTGGTGTTGCAGCTTCCTGTGACAGCGTTGCATGGGCACATGTCGTGGCATTGGCACGGCTGCTTGCAGTTCAGCCCGTAGAATCCAAGAGGGCACTCTGGGACAACAAAGAGAGCAGAGACATGGTTAAGTTAATCTATTCATAGAGATAATTTGCTCCAAAATAAAGACAGTTGCCTACTTAGGCATGATTGTAGATGCACACTCGAAATATAAGCGGTTCCTCACAGTACTCAGAAATATTATGATTTTATGCTTTTATATGATATATTTGACCAAAATCTAAAACAGCATTGCATGCATCACTCAAGGCAATTCTAGAAAGCATTTCAAGAAAGAAAGGTTTGTTAAAAATATGTCTTAAGTTCTGGAAAATTGTTTCATCCAATTAAAGACGCACTTCACTTAATATTTGTGCGTGTTAAATATTTTTTGTGCTTATTTGAGAATGTGTTAAGTTTTGTGCTAATGTCAAACTATTGGAAACAATGATGAGCATTAGTCGAGTCTTTTGCTGACATTAAGTTCCTGCCAATGATGAGTGTTTCAGATCAGACAAATCATTGTAGCAAAAGTAATTACATTTACATTCAACTGACACTTTCATCCAAAGTAACTTACATACATGTTTTATGACAAAAGTTTAGGCATCTTAAACCTTTACCTGGAAATATATCTCTCACGTTTTTCATTACCCTACTAGAGCACATTCACTTGACCCTCAGGACACATACATTTTAAATATGTGCATCTGCTTATATTCCAAAAACGGTTGAGATTAGACCGCATACCTTGCTCACAGGAATCTCCATGGAGACCAGCAGGACAGGTGCACCGTCCGTGAACAGGATCACATGAGCCTCCATTTGCGCACATGCATGTTTGGTTACAGCCATCGCCATAGAAACCTGCTGCACATACTGTGAGAAGTACAAAGGAATTTCAGATGAACACATTGGTTTAAAATAGTTAAAATCACCACTGCTGACTGTAACAAACGTAAAGGTCTCGCAAGTACAGAGCCACTCAGAGCTTTATTTGATAGTCCAAATCTGTGTGACAGCCAGATTTACCCTCACCTTGGCTACAATTTAAACCCATCCATCCAGCATCACACACACATCCATCTGTTCAGAGAGAGGGATAAGACAAGAAAAGTAGAGAGAGAATGGTAGATAATGGGTTATCAAAAAAAAACTGAAATACTACTTTTAATGCAAAAGCATTTTCTCTGTTAAAAACATTCACTAACTACAAACAATCTTTCAAAATGTGTTATTTTTAGCAAATGTAATGGATGCAGTATAAGCTACATGCCTTAAATCACTGTCAAATGTCGTTAACACTTTACATTATATTATACATTAATTATATATTTACATAAATAACTGTAACCAAAGTTAAAATGCATTATATTTGCAGATTCCTTGTTACATCTGAAATTGACTGTTTGTTATGTGTGTTTTTTTTCAATTAAACTTACAGTTATACATTAATACAAGTTACGTGGCTACTTAGTCATGTATTCAGATAAGTAGACATAATGAATGTTATGATGAATAATGCTTGTGATCATAATTATTACAATATAAGGATTAATGCATTATATTTTCTCAAGGTGTAACAATGAATGGACGTTTTATGTATTATAACAGTGGTTAGAATTATTAATGAGATCATACAATGCATTATAAGGTGCATTACAAGGCTTAATTAATGAACTAAAAAAAGCTTCAAGTAAAGTGTGACCATAATGTCCTTTTGTGATATACAGTACAGGAGTGTACGAGAGAGTGACTCACTCTCAGTGCAGATCCCATGCTCTCCACATTCAGCCTGGCATGTGAGATTGGCACATCCTGGGCTGCTCCAGCCCTGCTGGCACACACACTGGCCCTCCACGCAGCGTCCATGTCCGCCGCAGTCCTCCGGCTGGCACAGCCTCTCATGAACACACAGCACAGTGGATACTGCCCGTGGGCAGCGCCACTTCGGAAGTTTGCTGGAATTTTGGCGAAAATGTTGAGATAAAACTTCCAAACTTAGCACACTGTTGTTTGTAAATGTGTAGTTTTGCATTTACACACCAGTGGTCTGAAGGGTAACTGGCCAGGGATCCGTTGAGGATATAAGTGGCCGAGCCGCCTCCATCCAGATTAATAGCGTTAAAGACATTCTGTTCCTTCAGAAACTTTGCCACTTGCCAGAGGTTCATTCTGCAAAGATAGTAGTTCACTAAACACATGTAAAAATAAACTGAAAGAACTAAACTGTACCTGAACTCCGGGTATGCACTACAAATGTGCATTCTCCATTTGGATTTAAATGGCTCACTGTGGTTTAAAACTAAGCTGACATTTTTGATGTCACAACCATGAGAACACGAACAATACTGATATGCAAATTAACCTACCAAAACAAAAGTAATTTATATATAACTCTTATGCATGTTTCATTTCATTTAATTTTTAAGTGAGTTTAATTAAGGGCCAGAGAGACAAAATGTTTCTTTTTTAATGTTTTTTCATATTTTAAAATATTATCACTATTCATCATTCCAATATCATCTATAAATCATTCTGTGATTATTTGGTGCTCAAGTCATGTTGAAAACAGTTGTGCTGCATAATATTTTTGTGGAATCCTTGATAGATTTTATTTTATTTGTTTCAGGATTCATCGATGAGTAAAATGTTCAAAAGAACAGCATTTATTTGAAATTGAAATATTTTGTAACATTATAAATGTCTTTACTGAGTCAATTTAATATATCTTCACTGAAAAAAAGTGTTAAATTCTTTAAAAAAAAGCAACAACTATATATTATGAGTTTGTTGCAAGAAACCTTGAGTAGCATTACAACTCAAAGTGCATAAAAAGCTAATAAAATCATGAATATGGCCTCTCTGAATGGAAAAAAAGCATTCTGCTTTTACATTGTCTTCTTAAGCAATAAATCTTGCAAAGGTACATTCTGGGTTATTTTTAATGTTGTAGCATGCACAGACAGACAGAGAGACGCGGAGGAATCAATGTTTACAGTGATAATCAGCTGAGATCCGCTCAGGTTCAAAGTCCATTCTCACCCTCTTACACCCGTCTGACCGTCGACATGGAAGAGGATGAGTTTCCCCTCTGCATCGTGACCCACCGCCGTACGGGCAGATATCACGTCCACAAAGTACTGGAATTTTCCTGCAAAATAAAAGATCAATGACCTACTGAATTCTATATTATAAGCTTTGAGCACAGATGTGTTTGAAAACAACAGGACTAAGTACCTGAACTACTGTTGAAAATACAGTTTTTCTGATATAGGGAGGAATTTTAGGGAGCCAGATAAACAAGCTTATCATATGCTCACACTTCAGACAGAATCTTGTCTAATCTTACCAGTCTTCTGTGTTTCGTCACATTCTGCCTGGATGCTCTCATTGATGTAGATCTCACCGTTTCTCAGCAGCCACACCACCCCACTGATCAACTGCACGAAGGGGTTTACCTGATCCAGGATGTCATCTTCAGACAGGTAGCTAAGAGTATACACAAGAAAGAGCAAGTGAGACAGAGAAAGATAGGACGGTGTAGCCTAATGGTTAAAGATCTAGTCTTGAGTCTGGTTAAAGATCCTGTCTTTGGTCAAGACACTCCAATAATATGTTGTATAGGCACAATTTTCTTTCCTGTGTTGATGTATCTCCTATTGAAATAGGGAGGTGGGGTGGGACATTTTTTCACAAATAGCCAGAAGCTATTCAAAAGTCTCTTGTTCATGCTCACCAAAGCTGTATTAATTAATCAAAATACTGAAAAAAACAGTAAAGGTGTGAAATATTTTTTACTATTTAAAATAGGTGTTTTCTATTGTAATATTTTTTCAAACATAATTTATTCGTGTGGTGGCAAATTTTCAGCAGCCATTATTCCAGTCTTCAGTGTCACACGATCCTTCAGAAATACGAAATTTGAATATGATGATTTGATGCTTAAGAAACATTTCTTATTATTATGATTGTTGAAAACAGTTGCGCCACGTATACATTGATGAACAGAAAGTTCAAAATAACAGCATTTGTTTGAAATGGAAATTATTTGTAACATTATAAATGTCTTTACTGGCACTTTTGATCAATTTTATGCATCCTTGCTGAAAGTATTAATTTTGTTTAAAAAAAATAATAATAATAACTTACTGTTACAAACTTTTGAACGGTAGTGCACATCACAGCCCAGTAAAACCACACTTGACAGACTGCACTATGATCTAAAGCAATAACGGCACTTTCAAAACAAATTAATTCCAGCAAAAAAAGCTGATGGTTTGGACAGACAAGACAGTATAAATATTATCACAACCAAAGGCACACAAACCATGATTTGCTATACTTAATACTGCCAGACAGGTTGGAGAGAAAAAGCATTTACTTCACAAATAAAACAAAACTGTATACTCATGAAAATTGTTTTGCCAGAAGAGACTGTAATGTGTTTATCTGTTAATGCTACACTGAAAGCTAACAGGCATGAACTAAAAGCCACAAATTGTTGTATTTCACACTGGATAAAGTGGACAGGAATGATTAGCAAAAAGCAAACATTTGATTTGATAAGGATTACACATAAATAATCCCTGGCTTACTGGCAGACCATGTGTACTATTTTATACTTTATTGACTATAGGCTGTTTTGAATTCCTTAAAGCTCATCCAGGTGAATGTCCAAATATGCTATATAAACACCTTATCTAACGCCAGAACACTCCGGTTAAAGGCCCTTAACGTCATAATGAATGACAGACTGAGACAGTCTGGGTACATGGCGTTCCAAAGTACTGCCTATTATTAAGAGCACTGGTGCATTATGCAATATTGCCATGTTTTTGTAAAGATTCTATTTTAGGAAACAGATGTTCTACGGGCCCTGTGTACCCATGACTTACTTCCTCCAAATTCTGCACCCATATTTAGGTTGAGGTTTGTTACAGCACCCTGCAGAAAAGGAAACCACTTTGTGCTTACAGACGTATGCTAACTGATAATGTGGCAGTGTCCTCAAGTACACTCTACTAAACATCGTCTTTTGTGTTCCACAAACGAAAATGAATGTCATATGGTTTCAAAGAACATGAGAGTGAGAAGATATGGAGAGAATTTTCATTTTTGGGCGACCTATCCCTTTAAGGGTGTGATACAGCATAAGTACAGCTTAATCATAGGCAGGTCAAAAGTACACCAGCACCCAACCAGGAAAGACTAGCTCGATTTTCTATTGTTTCTTGGGACTCCACACAAAAAAACAAACACTGTGGTATTGCAAAACATCACACAGGCCAGGAGAAAAACGGCAGAGAGTGAGACCTCGGGCTGTGCCCTTACCCAAACACGAGCGTCCCATCCTTTCGGATGCCAAACTGAGCATTTTGAATTCCTCCACTGTTCCTCACCAGTTTCCCATCACTTATGACATTCCCCAAACACTGGCCGCTGTCAGTGTCAAAGAAGCCTCCATTCTGGGCGACGAGGCACTTTCTGGATTTGGCAGTGAGCTCCACCAGCTTTCTGTGGCTCCACTCGCACCCTCCAGGGCCTCCTGGTTCCAGAACGGACACGGATCTCAGTGGGTCATGCACCTCTGTGATGTGGCCGCTCACCCATCTGTGAACGCCAGAGTCATCGGTGATGACGGAGATGAATGTATTTGACTTGAACACTGGAGCGTTAGAGTGCTTGCTTGCTGCCCAGGTTTCGTGGGTTACATTGCCATGAGCGACGGGCTGACAGTCCCTCACGTGGCGGTGAGAATGAGATGGGCCGTGGGATTTGGTGTAGGGTAACAAGAGGTCGTCATTCAAAGAATGTCTGTGGAAAATTAACATGATTAAATCAGAGAAATAAAGAGCAAATTGTGTTTGTTAAGCTAGTTAGGTTAACTTGGAGCATGTGTGTAACGGATTCAGAGAAAATGAGTCCCTCTCCTAGATCCTACATCTTCCCATGGTAGCATGTGGATGTGGTTCATTGTTCTGCAGAGTAAGCAGATTTTCATACGCACGTTTCTTTGAAAGACACCTGCTGTTTTGTATACTTCTCAGTCTAAACCCAAGACAACATTATCTGAGGAAAGAGTAAAAAATCAGTTGAGGAGCAGCAGGTGTTGAATTTTGAATTGCGCAATTCTTATGGAAGTCTGGGTTCAGCAGGTGGTTGATCAATATGCAAATTAACTATAGATTTAGTTGGGAGTGTGGTACTGTACTGTGTGTACACACAACCTAATGAAAACTCCAGTTAAGCTAATAATACCTAAAAATAACTATTTATTAATCTGCACATTTATCTCAAAATTTCTATATTATGGGAAGTTATTAAAAAAATAGACAGCAGGGAGCGCTGTTTTTAAAGTCTTACGTTTAGGTAACTTTAAAGGAGACATATTATGCCCCTTTTTACAATATGTAATATAAGTCTCTGGTGTCCCCAGAATGTGTCTGTGAAGTTTCAGCTCAAAATACTCAACAGATCATTTATTATATCATTTTGAAAAAAGCTTCGGACCAAAAAGCTGTGCTCGAACCACTGCTGCCAACTAATTTTCAGGGGAAGTTGCTAAAGGAAGGTCGATTTGTTGGTAAAGTTGCTTAATGACGTTGTGATGTCATTGCGTGATGACGTCATTACGTAATCACGATGCAAAAATTGTCACTACATCAAATCTCAGTAAAAATATATATTTTTATGTTCATTTAGATTGGTTCGTAAAATAATATAAATGCATAATATAATGTTAAAATATAAATCACTTTTTATATACAACATTGAATTATTGAACGAACACTTACACATTTTTGAAGGATTACAAGTTTTTTTATTAGCTAGTGAACTAGTAACACATTCTGACCAATTAGTTTTAAGCAGTGTATTAGTAGTCAGTATGCTGCACTCTAAGAAAAGAATTCACAGGTTTTTACCGGCACTTTAAATTACGCATTGTATTTTGTGTTTCGGGTTAAAGGGTTTACAATGAATAACGGATAATGGATAATGTCCTGGAAAATGACTAGAAGCCTACCTTTTCCATTTTTCTAGATATTTTTCTTACAGTGTACTAACTGATCAACAATCACAGGTACAACAAGGTGTATCATAAATGAACAATTATTAAATTATTATTATCAAATTGAACAATTGCAAATAGCAATAATTTAATTCACGTGATGTGTGTACTGCTAGGCATCTTTGGTTTCCTCTTTTTGTGAAATTTAGATGGAAAATGTGTGCCTTTTATTGTTCGAGTCACTTATCAAAAGTTGCTAAAAGTAGCCAAATAAAATTTTAAAATAGCTAAATTTGTTGCTAGGTGCTTTTGGAAGAAAAGGTTGCTAGGGTAGTCTGAAAAGTTGCTACATTTAGCAACAAAATTGCTAAACTGGCAACACTGTTCCGAACATGCTTCCCAGACATGTTTTGTAAACATCCTCCTCTTCTGCTATTGGTCGGACAAATAATCACGCCATTGGCAAAGAGTTTCCTCCTCATTTTCTGATTGGATGACTAGAGCGGGCCGCGGTTAGACTTTTTCTGTCTTTTTTTCTGTTTACAAACCCTTTTAGGGCTGTTACAGAGCCAAGTAATATATATATGTTACAGACATTTTTTGAATTCCACTCTAAAAATTACAGCATATGTAAGAAAAGAAACAACCATATATATTTTTTTCTTCTTGTGCAATAATTAACCAGCTATTGAAGGGTGAAACCGAAACCAAATTATAATGTTGTCTTTTATAATAAAAAAGCTAATTGCAACAGATTTTCAAAATAAGTCAAAACTGCTAAATACATCAACACAAGAAGAACAGGCTACAACGTTGTAATTCTAAATCTCAGGCGTTTAAAAACATTTAACTTCGAGAGTTTTGATCATCATAGCTGCACTACATAATACACGTCCTTACCGGATGTCTTTGCATCGGGACAAACATATTCCCAGGTATGTAAAAAGCAAAGAAATCTGAACGAAATTCACAGACGATGTTGCCATAAGACATACGTATAATACAATAAAATAAAATAAGTTACTGGCCCGGTTACATCCGTTTTCTTCGATGAAAGGACTTTCATCTGTGCTGGTCATATGATGCGAATCACATGATCACGCCAACTGATCTTATCTGTCAATCATTTCTTCATTAACTGTAAACATTTAATATATGTAGACTGCATTCAATTGAAAATGTATTAAATTTTAAGTGCCATAATATGGTTCACTCTGAAACGAAACTTAATTCGATTTACTGTGGAGCGGAACGTACTGTCAGAAGTGCTTGTTTACAGGGGAGCTGTAATAAGACGCACACGCAGGAGGAGGAGGTACAGCTCAAGGATACCTAGGTTTGCAATGGCATCCAGTATAAACATAAAAATTGGACTTTTAACCACCAAAAA